AAAAGTGTGGATTATTGTAACCTGGATTAAAAGTGTGGATTATTGTAGTGAAGCCCTCGTCTTCAACCATGGACAGAGGCCTCATGTCAGTGACGATCATGTTCAGGATGTTTCAGTGAAGACAGCTGCTGCTGTGGTGTCCATGATGTCTGTCCATCATGAAGGATGTTGTTGTTTGTTGTTGTTTTCTGGAATGAGACAGTAAATATGTTTTATAGCATAATTTACAGCAACTCAAGAAATGCCTTGTTTCACTTACAGTGTTAGGTTCAGGCAAAAGTAGCTAAAAGAGCAATTAAACACACACACCCACATAAATTACTTAATTCCACACATTTGAGTAGATGTAATAAATTACTTTAATTCCTGTTTAAATGCAATTCATCCTGCCATACCTGCAGTGTCTTCAGACTTTGCCAGCAAAGTAAAAGTTGAAGCTTAATCATTAAATTATTATCTTTGTGTTAGATTTATTTATAAATCACATTTAAACACTGCTTGTACCAATTAAATTAAATAAAAAGTAACACACGTTCTATATCACCGTCATTAATCAGATAAACAAACAAACAAACAGCAGCTTCATCTCCCAGACAGACTGACGTTACGTTTTCTCTCTTGAAACAGAACAATGTTAAATTGTAGAGACTCACCTGAAACACGAGTTGGGAGTGAGACATGTTGTATCAGCTGCAGCTCGTGACTCCGACATGTTTACGTTTTATCTCCGTGGTTCTCACGTGTCGTGTTGGTGATTTTCAAAGCTGCATGCTTCTCATTTTTTATCTTTGTGAAGAGCTCCCACTCTTTGGAAGACTTGGGTCGAACAGTTTTCGCTGCATTGGTCATTTGTAAAATTTACTTAATTTCCTTTAAAAACACTCTGCTCTGTTTCCTCCTTCCCCCTCGCTCTGTTCAACTCGAGCTGCAGTTTTTTTTTTTCAAACTTTATTCAGTCAGTCAGCATTGACAATGAACTGCAGGTGAACAAAACGAAACGGCTCCGCAGCGCCGTGAAAGATGCATAATCGCGCGACACAACGAATCGATATTGAAATTCGTTGCCAACGCTTTTAATCATCGATTTTTATCGATTCGTTGTTGCAGCCCTACACTGCAGCAGCAAAAACAACGTACGTCTGCATCCACTTTGTTAATTTGTGAAGGGTTTGTAGGCTGCTGCTTAAAATATTATTTTTCTCATGTTTATAATAATCAGGTGAGTTGTAAATTTAATAAAAAAGTTGTTTTTCTGACCGTTTGAACTATTATATAAAGGGCTTTCGATGCAGAACTGTAAGTATTTTTGCAGAAAGGAATGTTCTTATCACTTGGGACTTAAAGAACTGTGATGAAGTGTTTTTTGCTTATCACTCGGGAAGCCTGAGAGGAGGATTTTGGCCCATCCCCTTCCCACACTACCTTGAAGTTTCTGAGTTTCAAGTAAACATGTTTTTCCCCAGATAAGATAAGTCTTCACTCCCTCCTTGCAGATGGGAAGGAGTTACCGCTCTTTGGAATGCAGCTGAGTTTCGAGTAAACATGTTTTGTTCACTGGGAAACACTCTCATGTGATGTAGAGAGAGAGAGAACAAAAGTGGGAGAAGCACTTAGACAAAGTTAGAGTCTGCTGTGAGTCTACCGATCGGGACGTCCAGCTATGTGTCGGTGTTTTGGTTCTACCCAGGCTGAGTGGCTCTCCAGCCTTGCGTCACGGTGAGAGCTTGTTTATGCATCGATACTTATGATTGTACATCTGAGTGTGATTGTACCTTGCTTTGCTTTTTATGCTGTAATCTGTGGCGGAATAATAAAGACACAATTATTCTAGCAGTACAGTATCTGAGTATTTTCTTTTTTGTCCATTGTGCTGATCACTCTTCCGAATCCTGGTTTTATTTAAATAAATATCACAGAATATCAGGAAATTAAGACATTGATTTTTTTTATTTTGCCGTTTTTCCTGTGGTGGCTGCTAAAAACAGATGACCTTCATGTTACATCCTGGATGGGTTAACATCGTGTTTTACTGTTCAAGCTGTATGAAAAAAGTAAAGTTTTAGGAAATAACAGTGAAAAATTTTAGCCTTTTGCAACTTTTACATTCTTAAACTTGAAATATAAAGTTGACTAGCTAAACTTTGGTAATTTAAGCTAGCCTTTTTGATGTTTTAAGCTTTGGCTAAACTTTTAATATGTTTGGATTTGAGTTATCCTTTTGCAACTTTTAGCCAAATCTTTGCTAGCTTTTTTTTGCCACTTTGAGCTTTTAACCAGTATATTACAGCTTTTGATTTTCAGCTAATGTTTGAGTCTATTTAGCTTTAATAACTTGGTCTGATCATGGGTGACAAAGCCTCCACCTGTGAGGTTTTAAAGAACGGTTTTGAAATTCCCACCTTGAAGCCGAGCTCCTGAGCGCAGGCGTACACCGAAGCTGTCTTGCCGACGCCTGGGGGTCCTGTGAGCAGCAAGGCCTTACACAAAGGTTCCTCCCCTCCATTATCCCACACAGCCTCACCCTGGAAGTCTCCACAGTCCCATGAATCTGCACGGGAAGAGGTCTTTACTTTTTTGAACTTTTAAAAAAAAGTGTTTTCAGTTGTACGTCTGTAGATTTTGCAATCAAAGTATATTTTTTAAAATGACTGAACATGAGTGAACACCGTAAATCTGGTGTTCTTCTCGCGCCCTTTCTTCTGCATCTCTCCTCTCATCACTGGCAGCTCTTAGTTTCCAATTCTTCAACCAGCTGATCACCAAAAACAAAGGAAAGGAAAGGAAGGATATTCACTTCCTGTCAAATTTCAGGACATGAAACCTCGAGTCAACAAAAGTTTTACCTGTGCAGTTTGTTTACTGAGGCTGAATGACCGACAACTTCACCTGAATGTCGAGGACTGTACTTATCTGTCCACAGAAGTTCACCAGAACAGGAATCTAAACAAGCCAAAGAGAAAACTGATCATTTTAAACAGCTTACGAAGCCAGAAAACATACAGTGAATTATTGATTAGAGCTCTACCTCCAGGGATCACATCAGAGGATGTGAGTAACTGAGAGACTGTTGCAGTCTGATCCACCTTCTCACTTTGGCGCTTCAATCTGAGGGGGTGTCTCACTTTGCTGGCTCCAGATTGCTTCTGTCCACTGAGGACAGTCTCCTGGACATCCTGTCCCGATGGTGGACAGAATCCTCTGTCAGACTCTGCACAGGGACTGGACCTCAGACGCTTTGAGGATCTCTCAGTCTTCATTCCCTCTTCTATATTCTTCTGTGATGAGCCTGGATGAAACAATCTAGCATTGAAAGGTAAAAACAATGGTTATGTCTGTTTTATTTTATTTGTATTGCTTGAACCACTGAATACACTTCAATTAAGTTCTGAGAAAGTACCTCAACACATTTTTTGTCATTTAAAGATAGATGCCACAGCCAACTGACCTAAAGAAAAGAAACTAAATTGGCTGCAACTCTGTTAATTTTACATGCACTAAGTTTTCAGCTTTTGCAGTTTACCAAATGGAATAATGAGACTGGTGTAATTTCCAAACATACGAGGTCTTCCTCTCTTCTGTGGCCGGAAGCGGAGCAGCTCGATCGGTTTGACTTTAGTCGCTCACTTCGGATGAGTTTTGCTCCGTTTGAGCTTCATTCCTTCTTAGTCGAAAGACTGCAGCCCCGTGTCCGTGACATTAAAGTTAAATTCTAGCCAAGTTCCCAATTCCATCACCAGCTTGAATTTGGCGCCCATATTAATACGCATCGTAAGCGTAAACGTCACTTTTATGCGACGCCAAATCATTAAGTTAAATATTTAACATTTTTACTTAAGTTTGTCTATAAAATTAATAACTTGTGAATTATTTCCATATAACTGCTGAACGTTTATCCGTAATATCAAGTAAAAAAATAAAAAAATAAAAACTGGCGTTTTAAGCGTGAGCCAAGTTATGGAGCCGCCAAAGATCGTTTATGCAGAAAGATGCTCTTACACCACCAAGTCAACCGCGCTGGTTTTCTATCAAACAGAAGTGTTTTGAATACATTTTTCTTCACTAGAAGCCTTTCAAAAACTTAACAGGTCAGTGGACATTAGTATGGATATGGATAAAGACATTATCATTGTCATGTGGGCGATTTGTGACTGAAGAGTAGTTGGAACTTTATTTATAAAGCACCTTTAAAACAGCAGCTGTTACTAAAGTGCTTAATAATACAAATTAATGGGAGTAAATTAATGGAAAAAAACTAACAATAATACTGAAAAATTGATTAAAAAGCATTTAATAAAAAAAAAACATAAGAACACAGAACAAAAAAAACGTAAATCACTCACACTGTAAAAGTAGAAAACAGATGTTTTTAACAGAAATTTGAACACAGGAAGGGAGGTGGCCTGCCTAATGTTGGGGGGCAGGTTGTTCCAGGGTTGGGGGCCCATCACTGAAAAAGTCAGATCACCTCTGAGCTTCAATCTTGTTTTTGGAACAGCCAAAAGCAGCTGATAGGATGATCTCAGGGCCCGAGAGGGAACATATGATTCCAGTAGCTCAGAGATAAAGGGGTGTGAGGCCATTTAGGCACTTAAATGTTAACAGGAGAATTTTAAAATCTATTCTAATATGCACAGTGAAGGGAGGATAGAAAAGTGAAAGAAGTTTGCAAAACAGTAATAAGGCCAAGCTTAGATGTTTGGACATGATATGTTGGGACAAAAGATGTGAAATATGGAGCTGCAGGAAGGAGGAAAAGGGGAGGACGACGGAGAAGGTTCATGGATATAGAAGAGGAGAATTGCTGAGGATCGGTGAGACAAGAGGATGCTGACAGAATTAAATGAAGACAGATGACCTGCTGTGGTGAGCCTCAAAGTAAATGAAACAACACAAATCAAAGGTTTTTAACAGACTAAAGATACAAAAAAAAAATGCACATCAGAACTTAAAGAAACACAAAGACTACAGGAAAACAAGAGACTTTTACTTTATGACTCCCAAGCCAACAAAATATCCTCAACAGTCTGAGGGTAAAAATACATTATGGCACCAAACGTTTTAATAGAGATAACCTGGCCGAGCTGACACCAGAACAGGTTTAACCGTCCACGCAGGCACTTGTTTTACCTACTTTAACTGATGTTAATGCTGTGAGAGTTGGTGTTTGCCCTCTCTGACTGCTAAATGCTGTTTGGGGATAATTTGTTATCTTCACAACAGCTTAAAATTCAAAACATGTCTCCCACCAAATTCCCACACCTTAAAAGTTCTGTCTTGTTCTAAAATAAATCTATAATAATAATAATTTCTGTACATGGTTGTAAATCTTACGAATAACTACAAATTAAAGAATTTTTTTTTCACTCAAACATTTCCATTCTCTCCTTATAAGTTACAGACTGATGATCACAGAAACATGTTTATCTGCTGACGGATAATTTCTCCCAGGGTTTTGACAATTATTACGATGAAATAAAAGATAATCAGCAGGCATGCTCCAGTTGTTCCTTTAACAATATTGTTTACTGGCTCGTGAGGCTGCAGCTGGCAGAGTTTTGTTCTGTTCAAATTAAATCAAAGTTGTCATGTCAAAAAAGTGCTTCTAAGTGTTCAACACTTTTCAAAGTGTCACTTAGTTAAGGCAATTTGGCAACTTTTTACCACCAGAGCGTAAACAGTAACGTGTTAATGAAAAAAACTAAGTGTGACATGATTTGTGTGAATTTATTAAATTAGTCTGCGCTTGCTATAACTTCGGCGTAGGAACATCTCCCGATCTTGCCGACTGTGAGAGCAGTTTGCTCTTCAGGAAGTCAGACACAAGTTGAGCAACAACTTCAGGATGATTCAGGTGGACGTGATGATTGCCTGGAACGGTCACCACGGTGTGCTGAAACACAGAGACACAGATGTTTTTAACCATTCCACCTGCAGCAGGATCAACAAACAAAAAGTTGCTTTGAAATTAGAACATTTACAATTTACTGACATCTAGTGGCCAAACTGCAAGACAGCAACCAAATGAACAAACTTCTGGATAAAATCTTAATTCTCGAACACCTTTACAAATTTAGGATAAATAATCTTTAAAACTAGATAGTTGTTTATAAAAAACACCAATCATTTGCAGTTTTTAGGGCATGAGAATGGAGTACAGTGAATGAACTTTAACAGTCATCATGTGTTTGTGTTGACTGACTCAAGACAAAACAATAAAAACAAAAATAAAGGCTTAACGTTACATGAAGAACTGAATCTCACCCTCTATTAATAATACCAGGTTTAGACTATGATCCGCTTAGGTTGAGAAATGAAGGACTTATATTTGTTAAAAACTTAAATAATGTCATGCATGATCTTAGAAGAAAATCTTTTGCCAGCTGTCAGTGATTGGAATTTTTTTCTTTCGGCTGCTCCCATCGTCACCACAGTGAACTAACTCGCACGAAGACTTGGCAATTGTTTATACTCTGGATTTTGTCACAACCCTCTGTGTGGAGCAGAGAGCTGCTATCTAGGGTGACCGGTTGAGCAGACAGGGGTTACAGGTCTTGCTCAAGGTTGTGGGGACCTAATTATCGGTCCGGGGAGATGAAACAGCGACCTTCCAATAACAAGCCCACCTTCTCTAGCCTCTATACCACCACTCCCCCCATCTGGTTAGTGATTGGAATATGGGAATATGGGATGATGAGCTACTACCACAATAAATTTTAGCTCAATATTTATATAATTGACAGAGTTATATGTATTTTATGTTTTGTAAGATTCATTAGATGTTGCGGCCATCTTGAATCAGGTTGACACCAAAAGATAATCAGCATTATATCTGTACTGGAAATATATTTTCCACTGATATACAGTTTCTGTTTTAAACGTGCTCTATAAATAAATCTGACTTGACTTGACTTGATATGTTTTCTGATACATTACATGTTCTACATTCTACTCCTTCATTTGCCTCTTGGTCACTGTGAACTGAACATTATGATATTATAATCATTGTTCTGTGACTGTAGAATGAAGGAGCCAGTTGAGAGTTTGGCCGACGTCCTCATCACCCTCCTTGTAGGAAACCTTGAAAATGATTTACTTTTCTGATGGTCTTGGACCAGTTTTGGGCTGGCTCTGATAGTGCTGTGAGAGGAGGGCGTGAGGGTGGCTCCCCATAAAGATAAATAGAAAATCGTTTGTGAATTTTTTGTTTTTTCCACTACCATGTCCACCAGTTGCTTTCTGAGTATCATTAAAACCTGTTCAGTGGTTCATTGCTAACAGACGTGTACGCACACGTATGACAATACTGGGTTGATTTTTCAGTGAGTGATAAACAACTTTAACAGTTAAAACTAAACACCAAGGTTTAAGGATACATGTGAGAAAAATCCACCCAAATATGTGGCATGTTGAGATATTGGCAGCTATAGTGCATTGGTTGAAACATTTGTGATACTGTAATTGGATTTTTGTCAAAATATGATGAATGAATATCTTAGCTATGGGCTCCTTTGAATGAAATATCCAGAATATAATCCTAAGGAATGTCTGAAGCACTTTTCTGGACAGTACCAACAACTAATGAAGATTACAGCAGAAAAGCCCTAAATGTTTGCTACTTTCCCTGCATGCTAGCAAAACTACTTTCAAAACCACCTGAGAATGACATGAAGGAATCCTCCTTATAATAAAAAATGGATTCACCAGAATATTCAGACTGATTCTACTGGGCTTATCCCAGCTAGCAAGACAATTTATCCCTGTCTCTGAAACTGCTCATATCAGGATGATCTGGATATCAAAAAGTAGCTTTAAAAGCCAGAAATATAAAAAAAGGTATTGTTCATTTTAACCAAATACGACTTAATCCCTGATTTGATTTGATGGGTTACATATTTGACAAAAAGAAAAAAAAACCTCACATTTCTGTCTCTGTAGCCCTGAAGAATTACAGGTGGGAATTTCTTCTGGTCTTCTTCAGAAAACAGTTTTTCTAATCCACCTTCTGCCCTACAAACACAAACGAGGCGTGAGTTTAGTGTTTATTCTTGTATTATCGACAGCAACAAAAAAATTAAGGGCAGAAGAAAACCTTACATGATGACTAGAACAGAGGCTTTGATTCTTGACTGAAAATCCAGACTGTCCTCCAAATTGATGCGAACTATGTTTTTCTGAAAACGCACAAAACAAATTGTCGTCGGCAGCAACAAGTTGAGTATGAAGAAACTGAACCGTAACATACCAAGTGAAGACGCATGTCTCTGGAGAATATGAACCCTGTCAACAGAAAAATCTGTTACACCGTCATTATGATGAGGAACAAACACATTTGAAAAGACGAATATGAATATTTACCCCCGTCAACTTGAACCAGACCTCGATCTAACAGGATTTTTGCTGACTTTTCAGTCAGACCATCATTTCCAGCCATGAGCCTGAACGTTGAGCACATGAGATAAAGGTGGATGAGTGTGTGTAAGTAGACTTTACAACTGCTGAAATAGAAAGAGGGATTACCTCTCAACAGCCTTCTCATAAGTATAAAGTTTGGCTGGCTTGTTCTTTGTCTGTTTTTCCAACTCGATCAGCTCGTCCATCCCCTGCCTCAGTATGGTGGGCATTTTTTTCTGAAAATAAACAGTAAGACAGCAGACAGTAAACCAGTCCTTCTGAAATGGTAAATGGTAAAATGGTAAATGGACTGTACTTATATAGTGCCTTTCTTTCTTATTTCCAGATACTCAAAGTGCTTTACACTACAATCTGTGCCTCATTTACCCATTCATACAGCACTCTACTAGATCTCTACAAAGCTAATTGAACAAATCATTCTAAAGAGACTAATCAGAGCTTTTTCACATTCATACACTGATGGGACACACATCAGAGGCTATGAGGGGTTCAGTGTCTTGCCCAGGGACACTTCGGCATGTGACTGCTGGTGGATTCGAACCTCCAACTCTCGCATTGGAGGACGACTGTTCTAACCACTCGTGCCCCCCTGGGGGGGGCTGGAGCAATGCCAGGTGGGGTGCATGTGACCCCGAGGAACATTTTGCGGCAGGGAGTAGGGTTTTTTTTTTCTTCCCCATTCTCATTTTGTCAGGGTGCGTTCGGCAACCTTTTTGCTAAAATCCGGCAACTCTCAGTCTTAATAATAATAAAGTTATGAACAAATATGTCTGTCTTGTCGTTTGGAGAGCCATGCTTGCACCGTGTCGCTTCCCTCTGCTGCTGAGCAGCTGGAGATGCTCGTCACCCGCAGCACGCGTTACCTGCCCCTCTTCCTCTTTTGCTTTAACATTTTTTTTGTTTGTTTTTTAGTTTGTCAAAGCACAATTTTGATGTTTGTTTAATACAGAAGTAATGTTTAATAAATGTTAGGACTCTATTCTTTACTAACAAGTCCTCCACTCTGGACGCTTGTCACCCACAGCACGCAGCAACAAAGAGTATAAACTCAAAGCGAGAGCGACACCTGCCCCCTCTTTCACATTGACAAGATTTTTTAGTTTTATCAATTGTCAAAGCACAATTTTGATGTTTTTTTTATTTGTTGGAAAAACGTATGTTTAACAAATGTTAGGACTCTTTTCTTTGCTAACAAAATATATTTTATGTCACTAAACAACTTGTCAGGTTCTACTCTTGTGAGCGCGTTCCCCTGGACACACACACACACACCCAACCCGCTCGCTCTTGCACTCTTTGCATCTTCTCTGCTGTTGCTGCTCTAAGACCAAGTCCAGGTCCAGGTCCAGCTAAACATTGAACAGGAGCTGAGAGCTGCAGGATCATGTTTCAAACTCTGCTTCAAAAAGCTGTGCACTGCAAAATGTGCTCATTGTAGCCATTAAACCTGACTTCCTCATTTTGATTTAAAAAAAAAAAATCTGCACAAATTGTTTTATTCATTTTTGTTTTGTAGGTCAAAGTGTTGTATATAACACTCCTGACTTAAAATGTTGCTGATCAATTTGAATGTATTATTATTTATTGATTTTATTGATTTTGTTTGATTGTTCAGTATCAAATGGTCAAAAATGTTTACAGTTTAAATCAGGATAGCTTTTTTTTTTATTTCAGGCAAATTGATGCACTTTAAGCCTTTTCTGTTACAGACTATAAAACAATGTTAATAATCTTTGTTGTAAGTTGATCTATATTTTTTTATTTAATGTTAATAAGGATACATTATGTAGAGGTGTACTTATAACAATTTTATAGACAAATTATACCATTTACAGTCGCGGAGGAGAGTTGGGGTTGGGGTGGGGGTGGGGGGGGTGGCGCGAAATGTTTACTTCTTCCTAGGGGGGCGTAACAGAAAATAATTGAGAAGCACTGCAGTAAACCAAGTTTATCTCTGCGCATAATCATCAAGACCGTAACAAAAAGAAAAGTGTTAATCTGTTGAATCACGGGATACTTCTTTTTCCAGTTTTTTATTTTGTCTTGTTTAATAAATAACAGTTTGTTGTTTAACTTCATTGGGGAGCATTTATCAGTCATTTACTCTGAAACAGATATATCACAGACAGTAACTTAAGGGTCAAACATGTAGTTACTAGTTATCTGAAGTTATCTGCTACAGGTAGTTAATATCTGAGAAGCGCACTGACAAGTCACCACAATCATCACCATCAATCTGGCTGTGGTTTTACCAGAAATTCTTTAGCTGAGCTCCCCCCTACTGCTAAATAAATGAAGAGAACATAAAGACGCATTAAAAGACTTCCTTTTGTAAACTACCCAGTCTTATCATCCAGTCAGTGATTTCTACCAACAATCTTGTGTGTCGGGGTTTCAGTAGCACTATAGACAGTCAAAGTATTATTAGGTACAATACAAAATATTATTTATAAAAGTGACTATGCATTCACAGAATAAACAAAAGTAAATAAACTACAAAGTTCCTGGAGAAACTTGGACGGGGACTGCCAGGCTGCTGCCGATTTAAATTGTTGATTTGACAGTACTATGTGCTGGGGTTCACTCTCAGCTACCAGTATATCGAATTTCAGCTGAATAGCTCTAAAAAATGGCTGAGTTATCATATTTTTTCCTTTTGAGCTAAGTCAGCCATCTTGGATTTTTTAATTTGGATTCAGTCTGTGATAGGGATTGTTCTCTGCTATCACTATACCAAATTTCAGCTGAATCGCTCTAAAAATGGGCAAGTTATCATATTTTTTTCTCTTTTAGCTAAGGTGGCCATCTTGGATATATGATTTGCATTAGAAATATATAACAACTCGCTCTCAGCTACAACCATACTAAATTTCAGCTCAAAATCTCAAAGAATGACCAAGTTATAGTCAATTTTGTGTTTGCTGAGGCGGCCATCTTGAATCAAAATGGCTCCAAATGTTAATCAGTTCTAGACACTTATGTGATGATTACTTTCTGTGAGTTTCAAACAAATCCAACAGTGAGTTTCTGTTTTCTTCAGGGACATCTACACTTTAAGTCATGTGACTTGGCAGCAGCAGTTAGAGTGAGGAGTGTTGTCCCATTCATTTCCTATGGAGAAATATGGCATTTTGTTAGCAAAATATGTCACCATATTAACTCCAATTGCCAATAAAAGTAATAGCCCTAATCTCGAGACTGAGCTGGTCGTTTTGATATAACTTTGTGTGTGTGCACGTTGCAGTTTAGGCCAAATTAACGGAGACGGAAGAAAACAAAATAAAGAAATGCTTATTAGGTGTGAAATAATAGGTGGCTTATGCATTGCATGGAGGCAGTGCGCAATTATTTTGAACAAACAATAGGTTAGTAAGTTTTGCTGAAATGGCAATCCAAGCAGTCAAACACACTACAGGTCCTTCTCAAAAAATTTGGATATTGTGATAAAGGTCATTTTCCATAATGTAACGATAAAAATGAAACTTTCATACATTTCAGATTCATTGCACACCAACTGAAATATTTCAGGTCTTTAATTGTTTTAATACTGATGATTATGGCATACAGCTCATGAAAACCCAAAATGCCTGTCCCAAAAAATTAGCATATCATGAAAAGCTTCTCTAAACAAGCTATTAACCTAACCATCTGAATCAACGACGTAACTCTAAACACCTGCAAAAGATTCCTGAGGCTTTTAAAAACTCCCAGCCTTGTTCATTACTCAAAACCGCAATCATGGGTAAGACTGCCGACCTGACTGCTGTCCAGAAGGCCATCATTGACACCCTCAAGCAAGAGGGTAAAAGACAGAAAGAAATTGCTGAACGAATAGGCTGTTCCCAGAGTGCTGTATCAAGGCACCTCAGTGGGAAGTCTGTGGGAAGGGAAAAGTGTGTCAGAAAACGCTGCACAACGAGAAGAGGTGACCGGACCCTGAGGAGGATTGTGGAGAAGGGCCGATTCCAGACCTTGGGGGACCTGCGGAAGCAGTGGACTGAGTCTGGAGTAGAAACATCCAGAGCCACCGTGCACAGGCATGTGCAGGAAATGGGCTACAGGTGCCGCATTCCCCAGGTCAAGCCACTTTTGAACCAGAAACAGCGGCAGAAGCGCCTGACCTGGGCTACAGAGAAGCAGCACTGGACTGTCGCTCAGTGGTCCAAAGTACTTTTTTCGGATGAAAGCAAATTTTGCATGTCATTCGGAAATCAAGGTGCCAGAGTCTGGAGGAAGACTGGGGAGAAGGAAATGCCAAAATGCCAGAAGTCCAGTGTGAAGCACCCACAGTCAGTGATGGTCTGGGGTGCCATGTCAGCTGCTGGTGTTGGTCCACTGTGTTTTATCAAGGGCAGGGTCAATGCAGCTAACTATCAGGAGATTTTGGAGCACTTCATGCTTCCATCTGCTGAAAAGCTTTATGGAGATGATGATTTCATTTTTCAGCACGACCTGGCACCTGCTCACAGTGCCAAAACCACTGGTAAATGGTTTACTGACCATGGTATTACTGTGCTCAATTGGCCTGCCAACTCTCCTGACCTGAACCCCATAGAGAACCTGTGGGATATTGTGAAGAGAAAGTTGAGAGATGCAAGACCCAACACTCTGGATGAGCTTAAGGCCGCTATCGAAGCATCCTGGGCCTCCATAACACCTCAGCAGTGCCGCAGGCTGATTGCCTCCATGCCACGCCGCATTGAAGCAGTCATTCATGCAAAAGGATTCCCGACCAAGTATTGAGTGCATAACTGAACATGATTATTTGAAGGTTGGCGTTTTTTGTATTAAAAACACTTCTTTCATTGGTGGGATGAAATATGCTAATTTTTTGGGACAGGCATTTTGGGTTTTCATGAGCTGTATGCCATAATCATCAGTATTAAAACAATTAAAGACCTGAAATATTTCAGTTGGTGTGCAATGAATCTGAAATATATGAAAGTTTCATTTTTATCATTACATTATGGAAAATAATGACCTTTATCACAATATGCTAATTTTTTTAGAAGGACCTGTACAATAAAAGGCCCGGTATTAATTGAAGGACTGCATATCGCTTGTGTGAACAACAGGGTATTCCAGGAAAGTGGTTTGATGAGTTTATCCGTAAACTCTGAGTTACCAGAGATGAAACTCTGGGTTTTCAGTTTCATAAAGGCTGATGATGCTGACATTAAATAACTCTTTTTCTTAACCTTGAGTTAAGAGCATGCACAAACAAAAGAAAGCTCCTTTCAGCTTCTCACTCTGCAGAGGTTGGCACAGTCAGCAAACCCGCCCGAAAGATTTGGCAGGTTGTTTTCTTTTACACCAGATGTCACTCTGATGCAACCTGCATTCAAACCTGCAGCCTCAGGATTACAAGCCTGCAGCACTGACCACCTATTAATTACTTGATATTATTTATATTTATATATTATTTTGATTGAGGACATTTAAATTTATTTGAAAAAATCAGTCAGTTGTATAGTCATTTTTAGTAAATGTATTTTTTTGATGGGGAATTGATTGAAAATGTGTTTAAATTGTTCCATTTGAAGATTTATTTCATTTTCTTTTGGACAGCAGTAAAAAAGTTGTCACCGTCAAAATAAGGGTTCAGAAATTTTTGTGACTTATTCTTCTCTTACAGTTAAATAAAAACTTTATAAAGCTTTAGAAAAAATTAACAATGCATACAAATAAATATAAATCATTGCCATTATTATTATTATTATTACTGCTACAACACCTCAATCCTGTTTATGTTATGTTATTTTTTTATATTTAAACTTTTTATTTTACCTTATTTTTCCCTATGCTTCTTTTAGTTTTTTTAGCCAAAAAAGTGGAAAAATGCAGAATTTTATGTTCATCAGGAGTTTCAGAGACTCACATAATTGAAAATACTTATTCTTAAAAATTACACTTTTATTATAATAGGTGTAATTTTAAAAAGTACCGGGTCTGTAGGTAAAAACCCAAAGGAGTCCACCAGTACAACAGCATCCACCATCTCAGGGTACACTGCGCTGAACTGTTAAAAAAAAAAAAAACTTACGAATGATGATGATACAAAGCAGCTGAATTTTAGCCAAATTTAAATAAAAATACGTTGTTTCTTACCATTCCAGCTATGTTGCCACCTGAAACAAAAATAAAAGTTCAATAAAACAGAAAATGAGCATGTGAAAGATTCTGTCTGCTCTGTAGTTGGACTCACCCATGCTGTGGCCAATGATGGAGAATTTACTCCACTGCAGAGCTGCGGAGGTTATTTCACACGTCATCAATCAAGATATTATAAAACACTGAGATCGTTTCAGTTTAAAGAGAACATCACTGCTTTCAGATCATTTTCATTTGCTTGGGGGCCAAGATGGTTAAAGTTAATGTTTGTTTTTTCTGAAGGTATCTTCTGGACATTGAGACAAAGTCGCAGAAGTAGCTGCTTAAGCAGAAATCCACAAATCTCCCTCACCCAAGGAACTTCTTGAAGCTCATATGGGTACAGTCTGAGGTGTTCCCAAGCCAGGGTCTATCCTAAAGCCTTTTCCTGATCTGGGACCTGTCCAAGTCACATCCCAAGAAAGCATCCAGAGTGCGTCCTTACCACATATCCAACCTTTAGCCGTTTCCTTTTGCTATGGAGGTGCAGCAGTTCTACTGAGCTCCTCTAAAGAGGAAGATGATTTCAGTCAATTGCACTCTTGGTCTTATTTCAGCCTTCATGACCACAAGTGAAGGCTGAAATGTAGATCGACTGGTAAATCAAGTATTGCCTTTCAGCTAAGCTCTGTTTTGCACCAACCAACCTATCAATCTTCTGCTCTGCTATACACTCACCCATGAACAAGAACACAAGATACTTGAACGTCTTCATTTGGATCAGTGGCTCATTCCCTCCCTGGAACCGACAATTCCAATCTTTTCTGATTAAGGGCCATGTTTACTGTCAGATCATTTTTGGTCAAGGCTTATGAATGTTTTGTTGTTTCTATATTGAGGCAGAGATGGCTAAGAAACACATCTCCCTCTGCCCTGGGAACCTGCCATCTACCAAAACAACATCTTATCTCCTTATCACAGGAGGTTGGCTTGAAACACAGCAGTGAAGGCTACTTATGGGACAGATCTGGTTGGCAGGCCGCAGACTGATGAAGTCCTCTGGATGGGGGACGACGAAACGTTTCTCCCTTAAAGAAACTGGTCCAGATGACATGATTTAATATTTTTTACCATACCATACCACTTTATTTGTAGAGCACTTAAAACAGCGACAAGGCCAACCAAAGTGCTGTACAGACAGAACAACAGGTAACACACAAAGCAATATACAAAATGAGGTAAATCAGAATATAGACATTTTATTATTAATCTCTTATCTAGAACTGGAGGCCGTCTCGCAGCGTCTCCTTGTTGTTGTCGCCATGAGGACATGCACAAAACTTTCTCTTATCTCCATCTGGAGGCCAACTCGCAGATGGCCATGGATCATGTCTGTGTGTCTGACTGCAGCTGGCTATGAGGGAACGCCCGCTGGACTCAGCTGCTGGATAAAAGCTGCTGAAGACTATACGAGGCTCATTTCTGTGGCCTGTTCCAAGCATTATGTATCTATGTATGTAATCTGTTTGAATGGGCCTTTACAAGTAAAAAAGCCTGTTGGAAATCTTCTCCTGCCATTGAGTGTGGTTCTTTTGGGTAAACAACCTACCTGACCACTATTGTCCAGTTCAAACTGCTTTCATGGACAATTAAATCAACTCTAGTCAAGTCCCCATATGAGCACACCACACCAAAACTCTAAGGCTGTGAACCCCCAAACTACAGCTTGGCACTAAGGCACAACAACAATTGGAAAAAATCTCTATCTTTCACTGAGGAAACAACATTTGGTCTATGAACTAGAACATTAATAAAAAAATAAAATAAATAGTAAACTAGGCAGCATGGTGGCTCAGTTGGCAGAGCTTCCACCTCTCAGCAAGAAGGTCGCCGGATCGAATCCCGGCCCTGGGGCCTTTCTGGGTAGAGTTTGCATGTTCTCTCTGTGCATGTGTGGGTTTTCTCCAGGTACTCCGGTTTCCTCCCACAGACTAAAAACATGCATGTTAGACTGACTGGTAACTAAATTGTCTCTAGGTGTGAGTGAGAGAGTGAATGGTTGTTTGTCTTATTTGTCTTTATGTGTCAATGTGATGGACTGGAGACCTGTCCAGGGTGTCCCCCGCCTCTCACACAGTGATAATTGGACATGGGCACCAAAGACCCCAGTGACCCATGTTAGATATTTATCTAGACTGGTCCTGGGGTTTTTGATCTGCTCAGAGACGGGATTATAATGAAATTATGACCCGGTTCTGACTGGGTTAAACTGGGCCAGCAACTCTAAAATGAGTCTCCCAGGGATTCAATATCCGTCATGAAATAGAGTTTATTTTTGCTTCCTACATCACGTAGAAAGGCTTTTGAAGCACCGTCTCATATTTCCTAACACGTCAAACCACATAAGATCCATTGAGATCACACTTAGTCACTCCCCCTCATACACATGACAGGTTGAGCTCCTCTTCTGCGAAGGAGAAGTCTAGCCCCTATAAATCAGTAATGACATGGGAAATCTGCCCTTCCGGTTTCTGATCGCGTCGAACTGTACCAGAGAGGCCAGCGCTGTAAACTGTAACATTTTCCTGCCTTGATTTAATACAATTGGTAAAACTGAATTTGTTTCCTTGATTTACTGATAGTGTGAGTTGCTGCTTCTGAGGGAGGTCCGAACCGGGGAAACAGCATGGGCTGGGGGAGGATCTGGGGTCTGAGAGGAGGCCTGAGGCCCACGGCTAGCAACAGCTAGCTGCAGTGACCAGTTACCCGCAGCCAGCTCACGTTCTAACACCCAAAAATGAAGAAGCAGTAAAGATAATGGATGGTAAACTAAACTAATAATCATTTCTAACTAGGGATACACAATATTGGATTCTTGGCTGATATTCGATATGCCGATACGTTAAAACTTATCTAGCCGATAACTGATACCAATTTTGTTTTTCCTAGACCTACTTACAGAGACTACATAGCTTTCTCTGCTGTGGAATTAAAATACATTATTCTACATGTTTTTTGTCAATTTGGCCTGCTACCAAATGATGATGCCAAAAAGGGGGCTGAAAATGATGTAACACTATGTAAATATATAATATATATATATATTAAAAAAACAGCAACTTTTATATCCGTGTTATTTTGATGGAATGGCCGATGTCCGATATTTAACATTATCGCTAATATCGGCCAATACCGATACCATGCCAATAATATTGTGCATCCCTATTTCAAATATTACTATTGATTTAACTTTGGCAACACATTTCCGGTAAGCATTATCCTAATTTGTTAATATATTCCAGATATTGTACATTTCTAAAAAAAGAATAATAATAATTGAACAAAGATACAAAGCAATGTGATTAAATGAATAAAGATGCTGTCCTCGAGCTTACACACCATCAACAACTCGGCGCACATCCATCATGTAGGAGGGAAAGGTGTACAGAACTCCAGGAGGACGATGTGACGAGCAGCCATGACCCGGCAGATCCACTGCCACATATCTGAAGTCTGAAGGAGACAAGAAGGGAACTCTGAGTGCATCAAACAGAATTCTTGCCAAAAAATAAAACTCTTGCTAGACTGTTTTTTCTACGCTTAACTTGTTGCACACAAACACAAAATGGCAAAACACAGATGCATGAGAAAACACAGCATCACATTCTGATTGCGTCATTCTAGTTGCTGCAACAACTGGTACCTTTGGGTAGAAGAGGAATGAGGGTGTTGAATGTACCACAGTTATCAGCCCAGCCGTGAAGGCAAAGAACCGGCTGGCCATGATCCGGACCCCAGACTTTCCCTCTGATTTCTCCCCAAGGTACAGGCACAGAGAGCTCTGAAACTGGAGGCAGAATAAAGACAATCACATTTTAAACATTCACTTCAAAACACAAAATGTTTCTGGACTCAACAATAAGCTGATCAACTTGGGGACTTGCAGTTGTGTTTTGGGGATTTGTGCTGGCTTTCAGGTCTTGATCTCAAACTTTATGTTATGAAAATGGCAATTTGTTCATAATGTTGAGTCCAGATAACACACAAACATATTATTTAAAAAGTTCAAATATCTTAGCTTTACAGATTTAGTTTAGAACTTTCCAAATATTTAATAAAGCTAAAAATATATTTCTATTCAATTAAATTCTATTCAAAAATACTTTATTAATCCCAGAGGGAAATTAAATACTTCCTGGTAATATCCAGAAGATATTTAAGAAAAAAGATGAGCACAACCTAAGAGGAAAATATACTTTTACAAAAGGTTATGCCCGTACAAATGTAAAGAGTTTGAGCATTTCATCTCGTGGTGGGACTCTGTGGAATGATTCAGGTGATGAAATCAAAGGAAGCAAATCTATTCATCAGTTTAAGAAAATGTTTAAAAACATATTCTCAGATGCGGAAGAGTTTGGGGCAGAACGTAAAGGGTATTATGGTTGAGTCAGGGTTTAATAACACATTGCTGTAAATAAATCATACTGAAATTAATATATGTTGAAATAAAAAAGATCAATAGCAGGACTATATAAGTATGTATTATTAAGTAAGTAAGTAGTAAGTATTATTGTTTAGCATATATCTTAGATCCTTGTATGCCGTTTATTTTTTATAGTTTATACTTTTTTCTATTTTTGGGTATAACTGAGACCTCGAGTACACAATTTCATTCCAACTTACGTACCACGTGATGCGACTAAAGAGCCTTGAACCTATGTGCTTCATCTCCTTTTCAAACATTCTGTTTGATAATTTAACGTTGTTAAAAATGTTGATAAAATTGTTGGTTTGCATATTTTATCAGAATTGTTATTATGATGTTTAAAATAACTTTAAAATAAAAAATAATTAAATATATAAACTCATTTCTTTCAGCTGCTCCCGTCCTCAGGGGTTGCTGTGGCACCACCGAGCCCTCTGTGTGGAGCAGAGAGCTGCCATCTAGGGCACCTGGGGGAGCAGATGGTGGGGGTCAAGGGCCTTGCTCAAGGGCCCAGAGTGGGGCAAATGAGGGTGGAAACATGTGTGGGCGTTTCACCTTTTCCACTCACATTTTTTTGATGTTGTCAGTCCAGGGAGCCAAACCGGCGACCTTCCGATCACAGGCCCACCTTCTCTAACCTCTACGCCACCACTCCACCAATTAAATAAATAAAATCAAAATTTAGATTTGAGACCGTAAACAATAAGTAAACAACAGCTTTTGTGTCGTATATTTATTCTTTTGATCTGCAAATGTATTAACTACAAGTTTTAACACATCATAGAAAAACACAAGACAAAGGGAGATCAATGTCGTTGAACTTTTCAATCAGCACCTACAGCCACATATGAACAATATAGATTGTTCTTATTAAAAGGCAACAGTCTTCAAACAGTAAAGAATGTCATTTTTTGAAATAAATTCTTTTTAAGAAATGTTAGATATTTAATGAGTTTGAAAGGAATCAAACGGGACTCAAGGCTTCACAATGTGCTCCTTATTTGTCTTCAGGGAATGCTGATTATGTTTATAATACAGTATACAAGTTGCAATCTGTTGAGAGTGAACACAGATCACTGTAGACCACAGAAAGCTCCTTCAGTGGCTCCTGAACAACTGATTCACACAAAACATTGCCCTGGTCTGATCTTAAAACTCTGGTCTGTAATATCTTGTGGTCTGCAGCATGATGTGGTGATGTTATGGTGATCCTGTTCAGGAAGAGACTTTGTAGCAGAACAGTTGACTGGGTCTCCAAACTTCTAGATTGTCTGATTTTTGGTCGTACGAGTCACTGGCCCACCTGCCCATCCTGTGAATAGTTTTCAGGTTTTTCACTTGTTAAATGTTTACTAATAAAACAAATAAGTGTAGTGTTTCAGATATAAATGCTTATAAAACCTCCTGAGGAGTCAATGCTGCATTGTGTGTTGGAGATTGATCCACTTTTGTTCAGAGTCAGAGTCAGAGTTTCTTTATTGTCATTCGCACCTCATGTGGTACATGTGGTGGAGCGAAATTATGTACACAGGGTCCCAGTTACATCCAACAATAAAATGTCTAAGAAAAACAGTAATAAGATCTAAGATATGAACTAAGAAAAACATCAACTAAATATACACTAAGC